GCAGATGTTGAAGCAGCCCCAATCATCTCTATATCTTCACTTCCTACCATTCTTGTTGCTCCTTGTGGTGGTAAATTGAGTTGATGCATCGCAAGCATTAACTCCCTCAATTGTTCTTGCATCTGTGCCATTGCACTCTTCATTTCAACAAGCTCTGCCATAGTAGCACTTAGAAAAGAGAAGATGTCTAATAACGCTCAAAACAAATAGAAGAGAGGAATTGATAACAAAGAAAATACTAAGAACAATATCAGTTTAAAAGAGGGTAATCCGCAACTTCTAATGCGCTTATGTCTTATCAAGAAAAAGGGGTAATCCACTCTCAATCAAGAAAAGACAAAGCTCTGATATTATAAGTGTACTCTTGTCAATCTGTCAAGGACAAGAACTCGATGAAAGCTAAAGAGTAAATGAGACTTTTCTCAAAAAGAAATAGGACAAAATAGAAATATGTATATTAAGAAAGAAACTGGAATGGCTATTGCCAAAATAGAAGACAACTAGAGACCCTTGAAACTAGACTAGAAGCAAGAAAGGAGTTGACAAGAGTGAAGAGGGCTTCACTCTTGCCTCTATATATACTATCTAACTAGAAGCCACGTGGCGATGTTCTATAAGACCTCCAATATATGTTGACTTTCTAGGCCACATGCCTTTGCTTGCAAGGCAAGTTTTCTATGGATGGACTACGTGGTTAGCTTGTTCTTTAAGCTTCCAACATGCGTGGCACATGGCTAACTTGTTGACCAAGTTTTTAACCTAAAAGTCAACTATAGACTCCTATAAAGTCAAAGCAGCGTCTATGAAGCTTCTAAGAAGCTTCTCTAGAAGATATTACACAATTAACCTACTTTTACATACTTTTATCTATTCATATAGGTAATTATATGTATGTCCGTGACAATTGGACGGGGATTTAATTATGTTAAAAGCTATGTAGCTATCATGACCGTCTATTGTTACTTTTATAGGATGAGTTTCATGAGTGACATCTCCAGAAGACAAGGGACGACCATCTATGACTTCTACATGTACTGGTTTAGGTTTCTGTACATAGGGTATTTTACGACTTTTAACAAATTGTTCATCTAAAAAACATGCTGAGGCTCCCGAATCTAATAAAGCAGAGGCTTTGTAATTCTTAGGTCCTAAATATAAGTCTATTATAAAACAAGGAGAGGGTTCTGAGGAGAGGATAGGACCTTCATTAGGAATTGTACAAGGTTCCAGCTGCACGGTCCCTATTGTAGCTGGACGGATCCGTTTTCCGACATGTTGTCTTCTTTGACCGTCGTACCCCTCATTTTATAGTTGCGTCGTTTCTTTGGACAATGTTGAGCAGTGTGCTTAGGTTCTCCGCAATACAAACATAATCCTTCTTGACGACGACGAATCTTTTCTTGCTCAGTTAGAGGTTTAAAACGTACCGCGTCAATTTGCATGTCTTCTACTTCCGAATGTACGTTTGGCAAAGATGTTGATGTTGCCATTGAGTAATAACGTTGAGGTTCCCGTGAATGATTCTCAGATCGAAATTCAAAAAGTCGATTATCACATTTTACCGCAAAATCGATTGCTTGACTCAAAGTTTGAGGATCGGGTAAGTTGAGCATCAATTTCTTTACTTCGTATTGCAATCCATAAAGAAATTGACTGATCAGTGCAGCATCATCCCACTTGATGTCAATTGCAAGTTGTCGAAATTGTGAAGCATATACTGTTACTGAGCGATTTCCTTGTCGCAGAATTCGGATCTTATTTGTTGCAATACGAGTTGCATCGTGTTCACCATACATAGATCGAAACTCCGCCAAAAAAGCTTCCAAATTGTCCAATATTGGATTTCGTTATTCAAGAAAAGACGAAAACCACGATAATGCAGAACCAGAAAGTAGAGTGCCAATAAACCTGACTTGTGATCCTGGAGTTGGATAGCTTTGCGGTTGAAGTTCAATTGCCAATTGTACTTGATTGATGAACCCTCGAAACTTTGATCTCGTACCATCAAATTTCTCAAGTAAGGCAATTCTTGGTTCTCTAGTGCTTATAGGGTGTTGTACAATTGGAGAAGGAACGTGATTTGTTGTAGATGTTGAAGCAGCTCCGATCATCTCTATATCTCCACTTTCTGCTATTCTTGTTCTTTCCTGTGTTGGTGAATTGAGTTGATGCATCGCAAGCATTAACTCCCTCATTTGCTCTTGCATTTGTGCCATTGCACTCTTCATTTCAACAAGCTCTGCCATAATGACACTAAGAAGAAAAATTTGTTTGATATTGCTCAAGACAAAAGAAAAGAAAGACTTGATAACAAAGAAGATACTAAGAACAATATCAGTTTAGAAGTGGGTAATCCGCAAACTTCTAATACGCTTATGTCTTGTCAAGAGAAAGGGGTAATCCACTCTTACTCAAGAAAAAACAAAGCTCTGATATTGTAAGTGTACTCTTGTCAATCTGTCAAGGACAAAGACTCGATGAGGAAAAATATACACCAAAAGGCTATCTCGATATAATAAGTCAAAATATAAACAAGTAGGTATATTAAAAGGAAACTGGAATGGCTATTGCCACAAGACAAGAAACTAAAGACTCTTGAACCTGGACTAGAAGCAAGAAAGGAGTTGACAAGAGTGAAGAAGCCTTCACTCTTGTCTCTATATATACTATCTAACTAGGGGCTACGTGGCGACGTTCTATAGGACCTCCAATATGTGTTGACTTTGTAGGACACATGCCTTGACTTACAAGGCAAGTTTTCCTACGTGTGGGCCACATAGTTAGCTTGATCTTCAAGCTAACAACATGTGTGGCACATGGCCAACTTGTTGACCACGTTTCTAATCCAAAAAGTCAATTAAAGACACCTATGAAGTCAAAGCAGCGTCTAGGAAGTTTTTAGGAAGCTTCTATATTAAATATTATACAATTAACTTATTTTTATCTACTTTTACTTACTTCTACCTATTTCTATATGTAATTATTAGCTTACATGATTATGGCCGTGACACATTGATAGTACCTTATATTTGTTATGTTGCTATTGTTGCAATGTTGTGGTGGTTATTGGATTGATGACTTTAGCTCCTTTGATTGAGGCATGTGATGTGGTGTCCTATGGTGAAACAATGTACCATATTCTATCTGTGACAAGAAGGATGTACATCTTAACCTCCTATACTAGGAAGTGGTTGGCACCCTCTAGCTTGTGTAGTTTAGCCATGGACTAGGTTGAGTTTACATTCATAGTGCTCACAACAGAAAACAGCTTTCTCCTCTGCCTTGGAGTTGCCAACTCTTGGCTTGTGAGAATGCTCAAAGATATGACATCTAGCACATTCAGATCATATTACTAAATTGCCATGGCATGACTACTTTATCTTGTATTCCTCTCATGTGTTGGACTGTTTTGAACATACTAGGATAGTTATTTACTTCTACTCTAAGTCTTTTGTATGCTACAAGTGCTACAAAACAACAAACAGTTCTAATATCATGTATCAACAGACTGACATATTTGCCACAAGACGTAGAATGCGGCAAAATGTTTTCATTGATTAATGCACATAAACATACTCTTGTACATACTACTTTGTTACTCAGAGTTGCAGCCATATTATTTTGTACTGATTTGGTATTTTGTGATAAAAGAGACAAACTGTGAGTTTATCTTACTTCTAAGAAATATTCCTAAGTTGCTAAGTTGGCTCTCTTTTGGATGACCTTATCCCTTGCTTTGTGATGATGTGCTCCAACAAAATGGGTCGATTTAGTAATTCCCTAAAATTATTGAGTGAAGTTCCATGCTTCTTTCGAACCCATGAAGATTTGTTAAGGCTTGGCACAAACTTCCCTCGACCACCGTAGCCCCACACCCCACGAAGCGGACCACATAATTGCACATAATTACACATAGACACAGAATCAGACATACACACATCTCCAAATCGAATAGAAGATTCTCATGCTGCTGCGATTCAAGAACAGATGCGACCGACACTGTGCTACTAAAGCAAGCATGCAAAAGTTGAACGAAGACATGGCCACGGATTCTCGATATTAGAGCCGAGGTCCGACATCTTGACCTGCAAGAGAGAGAGAGAGAGAAGACATCCGAGTCGAATGGAGAAGCCCCTGTCCCCCTCGTTTCTAACCCCGCAGTTCCTGCCCGCATTTGTGAGCGACAACCCTTCTTCGATGTAATCTGCTGCTTCTGCGACGACCTGGTTCGACTCAGTTGTACGTTTGCAGTGAGTGGCTCTCAGTTTCTCCATCTGTTCATGTTTGATGGCGCAATCCACTCACCTAGGGACATATCATTTGACGAATAGTTCAAGTTTATTTACAAACTTCGACGTCGAATGCAGTTATAACCAGTCGACTGGAGGCCGATTCCCACTGCCATCATCTATCTAATAGAAGCGCAAGCAGCGTGTCGACGATGCGCACCTCATCTGATGAGCTGCGAAACGAGATTATTCATTGGTCGGCACTCGGGCAGAGACCATTTTGATCCATACCCATAAACGAAAGCTCAGAAAAGTATAAAATGGAAACCAAAAGTCTATTTAACTTGCTTTTACGTTTTTGAGATTGTCCGATTGAGGACCCACAGAAGATTCATTATAAGTCTACCAGTGCATTGATTAAAAATATATATGTTTTCCTTAAATCCAGGAAATGCCACCTCAATCACACACTGATATTGATTTAATAATGCATACACACGCATGCATGGATTTTTGACGTGTGTAGTACAGTATCCATTTTTATCACTCCAAGAAACTTCAATGTTCTATTTACGAGAAACATCAATAATTTAAGAACCAACTAACCCTATTGCAAACCATTTTCTGAACAGTTTAAATAAATGCACAATGAAAATGGCAAATGCTAACAAGAGTTGTTGTAGGTCAAGTCTTTCGAGGGGGTGCTTCGAGGAAAGGATTTCTGTAATTGCTGAGTCGCCACAGATTGTCTAGAATTTCTTTTAACGAACGGATGGGGAGAACAATTCCAGCATAGTGAAGGTGACTGGCTGAAAGCCGATCAACGACTCTGATGGCGAGTGAGAGTCAAGCGATAAGAGCGAATCATCGAACAACTTCCATGGCTTCAGATCATCAAACCGCGTTTCCACCGATCGACTACTGCATCTACGCCGCATGCTGGAGGAGACGTTCCCTTTAAGTCTGCGACGATCTTCACAGGCGAATTCAGATGAACAGGCATCAATCATTGCGGTGTAGTTTTCTTTACAAAGTGTAGAGCTCGGGTGGATATCGTAGATGCTTACTTGTCTGCCTGCTGGTCAATTTCAGTGGCCATCTTCCTATGTTCCTTGAAGACGGACGAGTTCCTGAATCTGATGTGCGACTTGAAGTTTCTTGAAGATTTTTGGCTGCGAGAAACTTAATCCTGCGCCTCTTGCATCCTGGAATTCTGAGTTTCTGGTGGAGTCATCCCTCGGGAGACTGTTCGTTTGCCTGTCAGTATTGAAGAGAAGGGGACGGGGGTTCGATCGATATGGGGTCTGGACAGGTGATGGTGATGCTGCTGCTGCTGTCATGTGTGGCCTTCGAGCCGGCGGATGGTGCGTTCTTGTCGTGGTCCGAATCGGTGCTTCAGTTGTTCAGTACTGCAGAGCAACCAAGTGCTTGCGGCCCGAAGGTGGGCATTGAGACACCCAAGTGCAAGGTGATATTGAAGAAGAGGGATTACGAGCTCCGGAGGTGCAACAGCAAAGAGGTGTGTTGAAAAAGACAGTTTTGAGAGTGAATGTGGAGAGACAGTGATTTTCATTACATTGTCTGTAATCTGGAAAAGAACAGTAAACAAGAGTTTTTGTAGACTAGAACTAGCTTAACAGCGATGTGGCTGCATGTGGATGAGATATATCTGATGGCAATCAAAGCCGTGTTGTTTTTTGTTCTTTTTTCTCTGTTTGTTTTCTTTTTGCGATGCCTTTGACAGATATGGGTGGAGACAATGTTGGAGAACTCAACCTACGAGTCTGCAACTATCACAGGCTTTTACCGTTGCACGAACTCTCTGGGCTTTGAGATAACCGCTCCGGTGTACATTACACCAGTTCCTCGTTCGAACGGGTACAAGGTGGCTTTCTTTGTGTCTAGCAGGTCAGGACTTCGTGCTTCCCTGAATGTCTTTTTTTGTCAAATGTTTTGTTACCAGGTATATTGTGAGATTTACCCCTGAAAAACCTTCTCCATTGAACCTGATTGTGCCGCCAGAATCAAAAATGTCAACGATTTGCCAACCTCAACAGATCCCGAGGTTTATTTCTACCGACCTGAGGGAGCTGTGAAGGCCGTCCTTGGTCCTTTCGGAGGATTTCCCACCGACAAGGACTACGCAGCCAAGGTTGTCGAGTTGAAGAAAGCGCTGGACAGGGATGGACTCAAATACGACGAGAAGTCTACACTTTTTGCCGATTACAGCAGCCCACTGCAGTTCCGCAATCGGAAGCAGGAAGTCCATGTGAACATCATCTCTCACAATGCATTCGAAAGGCTGCATGTTTTAAAGTGGCTCCCTCAGTGAACATAAGCTCCATGATTATACGCCATGTTTGTGTTTTGTTTCATTTCTTTTTCCATCATCTTATTGCTGCTCTTGTGGAAAGACCATTTCGAAACGATCGCATCCAGCTTGAGCAAAGAGGTCGTCTTCGATGTTCCGCGAAAGAGCATAGTATTGCAGACCTTACCCATCCACTGGGTTGTCATGCTCCTCCTCCTCACGAATCGATCGAGGACATCACAGAGAAACCAACTCAAATTTATATATATATTTTTTCCCTTGATCACTTTGATTTGGTGAGTGGAGGCAAGACCAGCCAAATGTGGAAGAAAAATGGATTGCTCGAACTTTTCTATTACTTCCCTAAATGTTGCCCCCAAACCTTGAAGACACCGATCAATCAACGCGTGAAATTAATGCGTCTCTTTTTCGAGGGGGGGAAAAACTCGTTTCCTGTTCGAACCTTGGCAAGGTTTAGTGAGATTTCATCTCGGTCGATGCCAACCCCAGTCTTGTCAGCAAGTTTCCAGCATAACTAAAAACTCTTTGTCTCTATGGGAAACTCATTCTGGAAAGATTCAATAAGCTTCGGAATACAAATGCGTATGATCTAGAGGAGGTTTCGAACACTTCGTACAACACTTACCTTCTCATGGAATAACTTGGCTAAAGAGCAAAGTTTTAGGGCTAATGGGCAAGACCCATCTTTTGTGAAGCACTTGGGTTGGATTGTAAGTGTTTCGAACACAGTGGTTGTAGTCGTCGATTCCAATTATAATATTGATTTTGAGGAAGGAACTTTTGGCCAAATATAATTAACACAAAAGCATTCTTTTATAACCATGTTGATAAACATCCAAAATTTTAGAAAAAGAATCATGTATCATTATTATTCGTTTAATTGAAACATGCAATAGTATAAATGTGCTTTGTATTTCACTTTTCATCAATCTTATTGCCATGAAATCCGAGTCTTTGTGCATCTTTCAAACAGCAGATCTAAATGGTTTCATTATCAAATGCAAAACCTTAGATGTTAAAAAAATATCCTTTACTTAAGTTGAGAACCTTGAGGTAAAACAACGCCCAGAATAGCTGGTTTGAAACCGTAATCAAAGGTGAGCATGACAACGCTCGATATGCTACGAGTCTTTTGAGTTTATCGAGGACCCTGCTGAAGAATGAATCTGCGGATCCGCCTTGGATGCAGCTCTACAATGTTGGTGCTTCTCCTGGAAGATCCTCACGAGGTGTTGAATCACCTTCACAGAACCGCATCCAAGTATGATTGCAGTGACATGCGGAAATGTTACTCTGCATAGACACGTAGAAAATGGTAACAAAGCTTAGAACAAGAAGCCATTGCGCAGAACAACATTTAGATAACTATTCCTTTTTCTGATGGATTTGTATCTATATGAATCTACCATAGATGAGGTACAAAGGAAGCTTAGAAGCCCATGTACAAGATTGAGCTGTAGATACTCTAAATGCGGCCTAGGATGTTAGCGAAACCGCAAGTGTCGTCTCATCCATTTACTAAAAAAACATGTCAAGTCTAAATTAGACAAGTGTCTCTGGATATTACAGTGTGTATTTACCAACATCACGCTACTTATCACGGTACTTGATAGATTATAAAAATGAGGTTAGATGAACTTCAGATCTAGTAATTCAGTGAACCTGTCGCCAAGTGCTGCAGAACTATGGTGGGAAACATGGCATTCTACTGTCACTTGCAGCAGAATGAATGCAAGACGGTAACGCAACATCCATGTCTGTGATCGGAAAGGTATTGAATTCAGACTTTTTTTATTTTCTTAAAATCGAAAGACATTAGGAGTAATACTGTGACCTTGAAAAAGCTTCACATCACAGTATTTTTCACCCATGTAAACATCAAGACAACTTACAAGTAGACGGGCAGAACTCCACGCTGTACACTTTGAGGTCATAAATCACAATCATGCCACCTCGTCAAGCCAAACCGTATTCTACACTAGAGATACTTCCAGTTCCAGCACCACCTATTGACCACGACGAAACTACATCCGTTTCCTCTGAAGAAATGAAAGCTTCGGCTATCTCTTTGATCATCAGCTCTCCGCAGAAAGGGCACTCTCCAGCTACTGCATCGTCTATCTGTGCCCGGACCTGCTCAGACAACAGGTAAGTGTTTAACTCCACATGCTCACCAACATGCTTGCCCTCATGAAACGCCAGTATCAAAAATAAATAAATGTATGAAAGAGAGCCGTTGACGCTTCAAAGTCATCCATTAACCGATCTCAAAATTAATGGGTACCTTGTCCATAGGAGACATATTGCCGTTTGCAGTGTCAACTTCTTCATCGTGCCCATTGTAAACAGATTTTGAAGATCGTGAACTAGCCTCCTTGAAGCCCAGGGACGTGATCTGTCTGAGCAGTCCTCGTATGCGCTCTTGCTGAATATCCAACGTAGTGCATTCCAGATAGATCAAAAGAGAAGATTTAGAGGTGACGAATGCCATACGTTAAAACTAGAAAGCAAAACAACGACCAATAGGAGCGATAAGTTAAGCCTTGACTGGTATAGATTCCAATAAATAAAAGTCCTTAAAGTTGGTTAATAGTTGAAAAAAAAAAAAAAAAAAAAAAAAAAAAAAGTACCTCGCTCTTATCAGTGTGTTGGAGAACGTAGTCAGTAAGGCACTGCGCATGAAAGGCGTGCTCGCACGGAAAGACATAAAATGGAGCCACAAGAGACGTGTAACTACGGGCTACCCCTGCTGCTCCTTGTGCTCCTTTTGATGCCAATATCCGCTGTCCACAAACCTGTACAAGAAAGTAGATTAAGTGCTTTAAGAGTTTGTCAGCGGTAAGTTTTGCAGCATGGTGGTGGTACGCAAAGCCCGCGCACAGCAACAAAAAGATCCATTTGCGTAGCCTTGAGTCTCAAACCAGGTGTGAATGAAAGAGAAGGTCAAAGCGAATGGAGGATACTCATCGATGTGAGTGAGATGATTAACCTTGCATGTTTCATCACGTTTCACAACAGCATAGCGCTGTGACAGTGCAGTGATATCACTTCTGATATTCTCAGCTCCATGAGTGGCATCATTCATATCTCGTTTCAACTCTTCAATCTGACGGTTGTAATCCTCCAACGAAGCACAGATAGCTTCCTGCGCCAAACAGAAATACCGCAGCGCTCACTCAACGTCAATAGGACATACAAGGCAAATCCACACACTCCTATCGCGCTTTAGAAAACCGACCTATCTTGAAAGGAACATGTACTAAATAAGTTGAGGATAATATATGACTATTACACAAAATGGATCAAATTGTTTGCAGCTGACAAATTACCTTGAAGTCATCAATAAGGGAGAAGTCTGGAAAGAAGGGTAAGATGTCTTCGATCTTCAGCAACCCATCTGTCTCTTTCAAGAATGCAATGGCTTTACGGATATTCTCTCCCTTAGTGGCTTTCCCTTGCTGGATGACATGCCTTGCTACCATAAGCCAAAGCTTTTTCCTAAGCTCCTCGTTGTCTTCCACTTTGTCAGCCTCGACTTTCGCCATTTCAGGGTCCAACTGAATAAAACACTCTTTCTGATCAGACGGTGGCAATCATGGGCCCAAATCGCCAACTACCAAAAGCAGCGAAAAGCAAGTAATCAACTAATTAGTAGCATCTGTGGAACACTCGTTAAGATGGAATAAAAAGAAAGAGTTGAATGACTTGAACTCTGAAGAATTTAAAACTAAAACTGAAACATAATTGGCAAACACATGCACCACAGTCTTAAAGAAAGAGTGTGAAGACATCGACGTACTTGCAATGCTAGTGCCACAGCTTCTTCATGCATGCCCATCATACCATAAATGTATACACAAGCTCGCATTTGCTTCTGCTCCAAACACAAGCGCAAGGCATACTTGGGATCGTAGAAGTAGTCCGGGCCTTCCATACGCCCCTTGCCATACCGTGCTTCCAGAAACCTGAGCAAAGCTGTATCCTCTGGCTGCGCACATCCCATCAACCATGCGTTTTTAAATCGGCTGAACTCTGTAACATCTAACTAAACTAGAGGAGTTGCACCATACCCAGTAACTGAACACGTAGCTAATAGGTCCTACTTGCACACTTCTCCTCTTGCCTTGTCTAAAATAACACTTCATCAATTGGTGATTCTTCAAAAATGACCAAAAATAAAGAGATCGTGTACCTGCTTAGCATACAAAGACAGCAGCAAGTTGTGCACAGCACTGTCCTGGTTCTGCTGACGGACAATGCAATATTCAAGATACCGAATTGCTGCATTGGGCTCGTCTCTGCTTAACAAACATGCTCAAGCGTCATGGTTATGATGTCTTTCTTATCGTACAAAATTTGTTATAGCACAACCATAGCGTTCAAACAACAAAGCCTCGTTGACTTAAAAATTGAAAATACGTAACCACAAAACTCAAAGACCAAATACGAAATAAACCTTGGGCGACGCTCACTGGAGTATCGCATCAAAGCAGGAATTAGTTGTCTTGGATTCAAATTTAGGCCAGTTGAAGTCCACGAATCCACAGTTTCATGGGGGTCTAACATAATCAATGCAGGAGCAAATTTGTACTGCACAGGATTGCCAATTATCAACAATGTCATACCGACAGCTTTCTCTCCAAAGAACTGTACAGTACACTAGTGCGCAATCCATCTCATGAAAGGATTCTCTAACAAGACGAAAGGATGGAACTATATATATGAAGGGTCGCCTCTAAAATAGATAAGTAAACAGCAAAAAGGAATTAATTATCGCATGTAACGTGTTGAGATAAAATGTTCATAAAGACACTAAGGCACACCTGAAGCTCTGGAGACACACTCGGTTTTCGGAGAACTGCCAATGCCTTCTTTGCTTCACCTTGCTGGTAAAGATCGAACACATGCACAAAGTACAGAAATATAAGAATCTGAAGATATCACACGAATGACACGCGACAGCGAAAAATTGTCGATACTTAAGGACTGAAGTAATTCCTGCGTAGAACTGAATCAAACATATGATATCAACACGAGACAGAAATGTGCATTAACAGGCACCTGAACAAAGTGGTGAAGCAGTGTTTCGTACTGTTCTTTTAAACCAGCATAATAAACCAGCTCCTCCACTCGCCCATAGCTGGTAACATCATGCACGGAGATGGCCATGAGCAACCGATTATTGGAATTGATCAGGTAGACGACCAATGACAGACACACCACAAGATGATCGGTAGACTAAGCAAAGTATTGTTCACTTGTACCAAGATCCCAACTACATCCTTAATACACAGGAACCGATAAATAAATAAATCAAATAAATAAATAAAATCCTTACCTGCCAAGTAATTTGACTGTAGTAGCCTCGTCAAGCACATCCTTACAATCACTGAGAAAAGCCCGAAACTCCCGCACTGTACTGTGATATTCTGAATTTCCAATGCTACCTTCATTTTCATCGACTTCCTTTTCATCATCAACGTCTAGAAGCAGTCTGTTAATCTGTAATCAACCCAAATAAACACAATAGTGGGTTATATGGATTTTAATTTAAAAAAGGATAAACAATTAAGGAATGAAAATGGCAGGTCGTAAAGTTGCCAATGTTATTTAGTGGAGCACGAGTGGGACCTATGCTCTGAATTGATATTTTTGATCTGGCTACTTCAAACTAATGAAAACAACAGGTTATAATAAGAAAGAAAAGTATGCTGTAGTAGAGAGGCGTAATATATTCCTCTCCCAAAATAATCGGCATCATGTAAAGCTAATTCAAAAGGTAAGATTCTATGAACGAGGTTAGAAGAGCATTAAAATATCCCTACTTATCCGCTTCTCACACCCTCTTCTCCCACCATATGGGCAAGAGAACAAGAATGGAATCTTGCATTTAAGGCTAATAGGTGTGGGAGGGTGGTGGCTAGAATGGCAATGTCTGAAATGGACCAACATTAGAACAAACAAGATGTAGTGTAAACGAACAATCAGTCCAAAACCCTGATAATGCACCAAGATGTGATGGTGCAATATGTAAATCACGATCGTCAATGGCATGCTAGTACGACTCACAGCTGAAAGCTCAACAAACAATACGACTAACATGGAGACTACGAAATCGCAGCGGCACAGAGGAATAGGAATAAACTAGCTGATAACTACAACCGTCTTTCACCTATGTATACTCAAGCTCAGATATGTGTACCTTATCTAAGTAAAGTTCAGCAGCCCAGGTGGCAATCATAGTAATTTGTGAGCGATCCTCTTTTCCCAAAAAGTCCAACTTTCGAAGCAGATAAGTTCGGAGAGCATCCTGGTACAACCCAAAATACGTCTCCACATCAAGAAGTGAAAAAGGTCGCAAGACCAAACTGGAACTATAATAGAAATTAAATGAGGCGCGTAACGAGTCGAAAATGAACAATAGAGATACGATAATTGAGGAACTCACTTGTTCACCAACTGTCACAAACTTCAGCGCAATCTCCTCAAATGTTGACACAGTTGCAGTCTGCGATACAGAGAACAACACACCAGTACGTAATAAGAAGAAAACTGGACGTGACAAAGCCGGTGAGCTAAGAGAATGAAATGGTGTTGAAAACTATAACAATCTCCTATCAAGTACATGTCCAAGTGAGACTGCGTCTCAAGTTCGGGTACGACTTGTGCACCTTAGCCCAGAATGATCCTGCTCGCTCATAATCTTTGACTTCGAACGCTGCCTCTGCCTGTGTATATAATATAAATAGAATAAGGCCAAGACCTGAAACTTCAAAGCAGCCACGACTAAAAAAAACAAGCGAAACTCTGAAGTGCTGCTGAAACCACTTGTTAAAGTAATCATAGTGCAATAACCTGGGCAGGTAAGGGCAGAGTAAACCCAGCACCTGAGCAGCATAAACACTGTCTCGTTGCGCCAAATCCCGACAGGCTTCAAGTGCAGCAGTGTACTCTTTCAAACCCAAGTACACCTGCCACATATCGCGTCCCTCGTCTTGGACTGTGATCTGCAAACATATTTTTATTATGAGTGAGATAAGAGCATGAACTTCACAACATGAAAGTGTTGAACCATATACATTAGACTTGAGATAGTGGACATACGTCAACAAACATTCATGGGTGATATAACTATTACATAGATCAATATAAACCTTCGATGAGTAAGCATGCACTCAATACGACAAAAAACCAACTTGTGAACGACATGAGAATTGAGATAAGAGAAAAGATTCAATTCATGATACCAGGAGAACAAATAAACCAGCTAGGAGATATAATTTATTCTTATGTCCTCACAAGCTAGAAAACCCACCTCATAGATGGAATTTTCATCGTACGCATAATAGGCTCCACCAGCCATATCTGAGCAGAGCCCCAGCATAGTAGGTGAGCCAAGATCACTGCGTAGGTCAAAACGCTGCTCTTCCACTACTTTCTGACTTACCCTGTTCACAATCTTTACACAAAAAAATAAATCAAAATGTTGAATTGAAGGTAAGCAATTTGAAATAAAATCACAAAGACGAATAGCTCCAGTTAAATTAAGTCAAGTGAACGTCGCAGATACGAAACAATGAACTGAACAACAGATTGATCCACTCATGCAGAAAAGAATAAATAAGCTAAAAATCGAATCATTAAGAGGGAGCGACAAAAAAGCATATGAACCACTAAATAAACACAACTTGTCACTTCTCTAGTCCCCTGCATTAAAACCTTTGAAAAATAATTAACAAAATTTGATTAATTCTTTTTTAAGAATTAAATTTTATATATATATATATATATATATATATATATATATATATATATATATATATAGATAGATAGATAGATAGATAGATAGATAGATATATTAAGGAAGTAACAGGAAGTGACCGAGAACACACCTTGAGCACATTGTTCATAAGAACGAGGAAGTGGTACTCGCTCAGGGCAAGTGAAAGAGGTTTCGGTGTACCCGGACCATCGATTAATTTGGAATACTCCAAAAGCCACTTGTGCTCCACATTACTCTCCTCGTCATGGGTGTGATTAGCACTGCAAACAGATAATCGTACATTACATTTTTAAAACAACCAAAATAAAATTCCATACTGCGAATGAGGTCACGTTGCTGCAAAGGCTAGACTGCACTAGTGGCATTGATTGAAATGTTCAAATACAGACGGAGAATTTTTCATCCATGAAGTCGTCCGGAATTTTGCACAAAAGATGTCTAGAATCAAATAGAAAAGTTCTAGAGATGAAATGGAGCATTAACCTTTGAGTGGTCCCAAGATTTAAATGCCCATGATAGATACCAGGCCCTGCCAGCCAGGCAAACCTCTCTGCTCTGCGCTGCTTTCCATAAAATTGGAGCTCGCTGCGAAGGATCAAAGTAGATATGGTCAAGATTTCTGACCAGTAAGAGTACAGAATAATTCGAGAACAGCAGTTAAAACCTGTGGAACTGCATAACCTGCAAAACAATGACGGTCACTTAAACGAAGAGTATCACCCACCTGTTAGGGATCGCACCAGGAAGCTCGGTGAAATGGGGTGGACCTTCCGAGTATGCCTTAAATACGGCCTGTTATTTAGATGAAATTAGCACAAACTAGATAAGCGATCAGATAACATAAACTACCAGTCTAAGAACTATGTGTGGTAAACTCAACGAACTTCGCAAAAATTACAAATCTGCAACTTTCAAGGATCAATCAACGTACAAGCTTGGTACAAGGGCACAAAGAGAGCAAGTAATTCTACTGTAGAGGATTCTGGACGTCACACCTCCAAAGACCCAGTGCCCTGGAAAATATAAAGGCGGGAAGGCGTGGCTGCCATTACAAAATAGCGCGTAGTGCTCCCTAAATTCACAACCTCCATCTGTCACAAAGTCCCAGCATTATTAGAGGACAATATACCAAGACAAAAAGATCCAGACAACAATTTAACCCATAGGAATCATGACACCTGCTTCGACATCATCTTCAATCAGAAATCCCGTTTGTGAGTTTACAGTAATGATCAATTCATTTGCAATATATGAGTTCGACCACATCACAATTCTTCTCCATATTTGACATGGTGTCAATGATACCTAATTTAACCAACTATCGAAGTGCACATATTCACCTGGACACCAATAAAAGGCTCTGGGACCTCCGAAAGCTCAAATAAGAGTTTGCAGAATTTCTCCTTCTTATCTTTTTCCTCCACAGCGGTCTCGTACAGTTGCCCAGATGTAGTCCCCACAATCACTTCACGAGTAAAAGCTGTAAAATACAGCCAAATAGTCAGGAAGAGGACGACACATCCATAATCGACTTAGCAGTCAACTGCTTAATCTAAGAAAAAAATCAGTACATTACGGCAATTGCTGCGGAACTAGTGGTATACGGTCTTCTCGAGTATTTCCGATGGTCGAGTCAGAAAGCATGACATCGACACAGACCGATATTACAACGACTGATTACGCCTTTCTTTAAGGATTTATATCGAATGAGCCAGGCAAACTATACGACCTAAGTGAATCCGCACAAATGTTGACTACATGTAGGAGAAGTGATGTGGGGTACCTTCGTTTATTTGCGCCCGATTCCAAGCAACAGAGCTCACAGTTGACCCCTTCAATCTGCTGAACATTCTTGGTTTTCTCCACTTCCCATGGAGGTAGTAAGTATCTGCAGTTGCGTTGCTACAAACTGTGAATATTGAATGTCTGCCACCTGGATCGATGAAAACCTTCGGGATCCATTGCTCAATACCTCTAGCGCTGAGGTCCAATTCTGCAAAACCGACCAACAAACAATTCGTGACGTACAGATCCAGATCTTAACTCCAGATTGCACACAAACATACTTTCATTTTGCCCAAACAGGCTCCTTGTAGATAACTGGTCATTCAATCTCCAGACAACATGTATCCCATGCACGCACCCATTAGAGACAGATAGAAAAGAAAACCAACCAAGAGTATCATTTTCTCCCAAAAAATCATGTCGAACTATCCAGCCTTTATTGGTGCCCACCAAGAGAACATTGTTGCCAGCAGCAACGGATGTCACCAACCCATGCCCCTTAGATGCATTCCTCTCCAATGTGTCCACCGAAAATATTGAACTCTCGTTATTTCTTAAAAAGCCATCTCCGTCAGGAGCATCCTCCACCTGCATCCCCCCCTTCCAAACTCAACCTAAGCTTCACAATTTGAGAAGATAGTGCTAACATGGATGACTTGCAATCGATCGACACCACAGAACATCTGCCGAAAGTCAAGTATCGTGTTGCAAAAGAAACAGAAACCCTAAACCTTCGTGGTGATGCATCAGTACCGTGCTTTGAGGCTCTCCTCCTCCGCTGTACCAGTCCGATGGCTCCCACCCAGACATGGCTTGACCTAAATCAGATACCCCTACTACAACGACTAAGAAGCCCCACGCAACCCCTTCTTTTCTTCTTCTCTCGATACCTTATTTTTCCTCCACCTTATTTCCAGGCCACTCTTCTTCCCACAGAATCACAACTCTTAAACCCCCCGGGCAGCTACACACGAAATCCTCGTCGGCGAATACCAATGCGTCGCACCATGGCATCGAAAGCACCATTCGCAAAACTAAACTCCATCAGCAATCCCCATCCCTACAACAACAACAACAACAACAACATCGTCACCATAATCGCCATCGTTGTCATCCACTCTTCCAATGCAATTCCTCAAACCATCAACCGCAGAAGCACTCCATCACTCACTAGAGCTGGATCACGCATGCCACCGAAACAAAGCCTGACAAAACTTACCTAACCAAAGACAATTTCCTACAAAAACATTCAAACCAAAATTGATCCTGACCGGAAACTCGATCCCAGATTCCTCAAAGTCCAGCTCGACCCTACCATGCATCAATGCCCATCACAAAGCCCCATCACGAAGAACCCATCTCCGGAACGTTCTGGAATGCAAGCTCGCGCGATCGGCCATGGCTGCTCCCCAAGGCGAGCTCCTACTCCGCTGGGTTGTCAACTACTCAAGTTGAGACTAAAAAGCTCACGAACTCCATAGTCACTGGGGATTGCTGGATTGCTGGCCTCAATCGTACTGGAATCACAAGTAGCAGAGCTGTGAATGGAGTCCCCGATCACCCACCCAGGTGATCAGTTTTCTGCGAAGGGGATTGCGCACCTGGCGATCAATTGCTCGATCACTCGCTCAATACCTCGCTCGCTGGCTGGCCTGCAGGGCAGCGGGTGAAATTCCCACACGCCCATCCCCACGCTCTGCCTGCGCTCGCCCCTTTCGCCGCATAATGCCCGCCCACGTGGCGCTTCGCCTCGGTATCGGAATGGCCCGATCGACGGGTCGTCTCCGTCCGTCGTAGGTGTGAAGAGGCCAGCATTTGATATCCCACACTCCCATCTATTCCGACGAGTCTACATATTCATATTCGCATTCACAAAAATAAATAAACCGTTTTTTAAAATCTATCATTAGAAACTGCATTTTTAGGATTTTGATTGTTGAGAGCTTTTTTGAGAACATTATCATCACCTACTATTAAATTTAAAATTACAATTGAATATGTTTTTAATTTTATATATATATATATATATATGGATCCTATATTCTCTATATATTTTTGTGTTTTGATGCAATAATTTTGATGTTTTATGTCTTTTCAACTCAATTGGATTTATTTCTTTGTCTTTATTTTTTTCTTTTTTAAATAATAGAAAAATATTTCATATTAAGTACTGATTAAATTTTATATAATTTTGCATATATATATATATATATATATATATATATATATACGAAAAAAAATCTATGTCATTGAGAACACAAAATAATCCATACAAAATGAATAAATTTTTGTTAGAAACAAAAACTTAAATAATGTAATTATACAAGTGAGATATATCTCAAAAAAAAGATGATATATAAGAAATGAAAAATCATGTATATTCAAAAAGAAATTAGAATGGCTATTATTAAAGACAAAAAAACTATAGACTTGTAAAACTAGATTAGAAGCAAGAAAAAGATTAGCAAAATTACAGAAGGCCTCATTCTTGTTTCTATATATATTATCTAATTAAGATCTACATAGCAATGTTTTATAGGACCTTTAACATGTATTCAACGAGAAAAATAAAATTTTGCTAGTAGTAGACTTAATTTACAAGACACATTTCTAACTTGTAAAACAAGTTTCTTGTATATCCACCACATGGCTAATTTATTGGCCTAGTTTTTAATCTACCAATTACTTATAGACATGTTGTTGTATTACGTGAAGTCTTGCTTGAGAATGCACAAAGCACTTGGCTATGGAAGGTAAATTAGAAATTTACAATAATAAAGTCTTAACCTTTTTTGTAGAATCTTAAATAAATTCTAATTAAAGCTTAATAATCTTAATCAAATCTTAATTAAATCCAAAAAAAAAGTCTCCAAAAAATAATCAAAGAAATGTAAAGATAGTTTGAATGATTTCAAAAAACTTATAAAAAAGATCAAAAGAAATAATAAAAAAATCCTAAAAAAGTATCAAAAATAGAAATCATAAAGAAATATTAAAAATAAAAATCTTATATAAATTTTTATTATATATTAATTAAATCCTAAATAAATCTTAATTAAATCAAAAATAAAACTTTAATTAAATCCTAATCAAATCTTAATCAAATCTTAAATCAAATTTTAATCAATTTCTAATAAAATTCTAATTAAATCTCAATCAAATCCTAAATCAAATCCTAATGAAAACTTCATCAAATCCTAAATCCTAAAAAAATCTTAAGTAATTCTAATCAAATCTTATAACTGTCTCTTCTATTTATTTTAAGAAATATTACACATCTTTGTTTCTATTATGTAATCATGGCGGAGCTTGCTAAAATGAAGAATATAATGGCAAAAATCCATGAAAAATTAAGAGATTTAATGCTTTCTATACATCAACCCAATTTACTACCACAAGAAACAATAAGATTGGGAAGTAGTGAAGATATAGAGATGATTGGAGGTGCTTCAACATCTATATCAAATCATGTTATTCTTCTTATAGTAGAATATCTTTCAAAAATTAGGGAACTAAGAATTACCTTACTCAAGAAGTTTGATAGCACAAGATTAAAATTTAAAGTATTCATCAAGCAAGTATAACTAGCAATTAAACTTCAATCCTAAATCTATCTAACTCTAAGATTATAAGTCAAATTTATTGGTATATTTCTTTCAAATTTTGTATTATCATGGTTTTTATCTTTTCTTGGACAACGTGATCCATATATGGAGGCCTTTTTGACAAAGTTTTGATCCATGTATAGAAAACATGATGTAATTTATATTGCAACAAGGCAATCAATCCATAACATTGTATACTTCTTAATTTTGATAATGTGCAACTAATATCAAGTAAGATGATGTTGCACTTATTAATCAATTTCTTTATGAATTATATTATGAGGTAAAAAAATTGATGCTCAATTTATCTGATCTTCAAATATTAAATTATGTAATTGACTTTGTTATAAATTATGATAACCAACTTTTTAAATTTTGATCCAAGAGTTACATAAGTAAGCCTCAACATTATTTTGATTCAATGGTAACATTAATGTCTTTTTAATATATACATTTGAAAGTAGATAATATGCAAATTGATGTCATACATTTCAAATCTTTTACCAAGTAAGAAAAGATTTGTCATTGTCAAGAAGGATTATTCTTATATTGTAGAGAATCTAAGAACACTACTCAACATTTTTCAAAGAAGCAATGTAATCAAAAAATAAAGAGTACAATTATTAAATAAAATAATACGACACAAAAAAAATTGACATGCTATAATAGGAACCATATACTTGGAATTTTATACAACACCTAATAAAGGTCATATTCTCTCCTCAAAACCCTCTTTTTAGAACCTTCTTTGTCTTTTACAGTAGATATTAGTTTAGAATCTAAACATCACAAAGCCTTTATCTTACTATATTTCGGAGCCTTAGCTTGTTTCTTAGATGAATATTTTGTTAAAAGAAATAATATACTTTTAGTGAAAAAAACTAAAAATATTCATGTAGAAGTGATAGATAGTCATTTCTTGTCTTTTAGAGATATTATTTATGAAATCCTTCCTATAGAAGTAGCAATCAATGATTATAATAGCTTTGTAATATTTAATATTATTAGATCTTTATCTAATACAATCATTTTAGATGTATTGTAGCTAAAAAAATATAATCCTCAAATAAATTGGATTTCTCATAGTCTTGATTTTTTTGAGAGTATAGCTAAAAGTGTTATTAATTAAATAAAAAATCATAAGTCTATTACAATCAAGAGTTTTTTTATATGCTATAAAAAAAAAAGATCACCTTATATTACTTATACCACACTTATTTATAATAGTAGAAAGATTTCAAGTGGCTTTTCAAAATCAATATTAAGATTTTAAATATATTTTTGAAAAAAGAATGAAAATATTCTTTTGAAACATTATTCCTATGACTACTTAATTGACCCTCAAGAGGGAGCTCAACCACCATTTGGACCAATCTACAATTTATTACAAAATGAATTTGTAGAGCTTAAAGAGTATATTAAAGAAAATTTGGCCAAGAATTTCATATGCCATTTCAAATCTCCAACATAAGCTTCAATCTTATTTGTAAAGAAAAAAGATAGATCATTGCATATTTATGTTAATTATCAAAGATTCAATAAGATCACCATAAAGAATAGGTACCTTTTATCTTTTAAATGCAAACTTCTTAATCAATTAAATTAAGCTAAGATCTATATAAAAATAGATTTATAAAGAGTATAAAATTTTATATACATAAAAAAATTAAATAAAATAAAAAATGAATATAAAATAATATTTTGAACCAAGTATGAATATTTTAAATAAAATTTCATGCTTTTTGGACTTACAAATGCATCAACAACTTTTTTTAATATTTAATGAATGATTTTTTTAAAGAAATTTTGGACAATTTTATTGTTTTATATCTAGATAACATCTTAATTTACTCTAAGAACATAAAAAAGCATGAATTTCATGTTCATCTTGTATTATAAAAACTAAGAGATGTATGACTTTATGCAAAGAAAAAAATATATATTTTAGACTATTCAAGTTGATTTTTTAGGATACATAATTTTAGATGATAGATTCATGATAGACTCTAAGGAAGTTCAAACTATTATGAATTAGAAGATCTCAAAAATAATAAAACATATCCTATATTTTTTAAAATTTACAAATTACTATTAGATCTCTATTAAGAAATTTTTACAAATTATAATTCCACTTACAAGTTTGACTTGTATAGATAAATTTTAGTGGAATTAAGAAGTGGAAGTAGTATTTGAAGCTTTCAAGATAATCTTTGTTTATACATCAATCTTGTATTATATCAACTTCTTTAAGCCATTTTTTATAAAAATAAATACATTAAATTTTATTTAGGATATCATATTCATACAAATGTGAATAATTTATAAACTTCATCCATAAGCTTTTTATTTAAGAAATTTTTTTATAGCCAAGATTGACTATAAGATCTACAACAAAGAACTTCTTACTATTATAGATTTGTTTCAAGAATAGCATTATCCTTTAATCTAGTTGCTATATATATGAATCATAAGAAGCTTGAATATTTTATGTTAGCATATATTTTGAATTGTTTTCAAGTCCGTTAGAGCATGTCTTTGTTAAGATTTGAATGTAAGATTACTTATTAGCCAAAAAAAAAAAAAAAAAAAAAAAAAAAAAAATGTTTGTTAAATGCTCTTTCTAAACAATCTTATATTCCACCAAAAGAAAGAGATGCAGCTTTTGATAAATAATAGACAACTCTCTTGAAGCTAGAGTAATTTCATCTCTAAGCAATGAAATCAACAATAACTATTGATTCAATTTTTTTTAAGAAAATTTAGTTAAATATAACTTCTAATCCATTTATTTGTAATATTAAAGATAATTATTTAAAATCTCATAATACTTCTAAGTTTGAATTCAAGAACAATTTATTCTATTTTAAAGATTATTTATACATTCCAAAAGACAAACTATAATTATGTATTCTCTAAGCTCATCACGACTTCCCATCAATAGAACATTTTGGATATAATAATAATTTAGAATTAATATTCAAAGATTTTTAGTGGCTTTAAATGTAAAAGTCATTCAAAGATTTTATACAATCATGTGACATTTATTCAAGATGAAAAATTCTTTATCATC